ATTCTCTAGTGTGAGCAGCTTTAACACCAATTAAATCTCTCCACTGGTTAAGAAGGGTGCTTAAAGCTAATGCCTTAGGTCTATGAGTGTGGAGACTCAAATTGCATATTGTTATTCAGAATTCTTAGGCCTTGAAAAATATTGTTTGGGATTGAAAAACAGATCACCCATTGGTGGGGAAAAAGAGAGAGAGAGAGAGAGGATGCATAAAGGAAATAAAAAAATAAAAGTAAATTCTAGAATACCTGGAAAATTAATCCAATTCAACTTAACTTTTCTTAGAGGTGAAAATATGTAGGATTAAGAGTTATTCCTCTGTAAATCAGATTAAGTTCTTTGGAATTTAAACCTATATCTCTTTAGTTTATTTTTCAGTTTTTGAATAAAAATTTTAAATGGGAACGGAAAAAAACTGCTCGTTGGCTTAACATAAATCTTTAAATTGCAATAAGCTTCACCCTCAAAAAGTAGTTGAATCTCTGAGGAAAAAGAAAAGGCTGAATTCTATTTTTCATAAATGATGGATTATTGTACCACACTGTGTATTTTCCAGTAAAGTGTCCTTTTATTTGTACTGTGTGATTACAAGTTTCTAAAAGTATGTGTGGGGTCACTTGGGTGCTGTGGGAAACTGGAAGGAACTCTGTTCTGTTAAAATCAGTAGTGAAATCAGAAGCAAACCATGTCCTGATTACCATAGGCATGTGTTTAAATTTTACTTTCCTTAATTGGTTATGTTGTATTTACTTAAAATGAACAATTTGGCAAGTTTTTCTCCCTTGACAACAGAAAAGCGTAAACTGTTTTATAAGTTTGGCTGTTAAAATCAGATTTGTAAACCACAATATTCAAAGACTTTTACTGCTGTTTACAGGGGTCCAGTGATGGACTTTGCTTTATAACCATGTGCCTTTTTTTACATTTTTGGTTTGTATTTACAGTGCTTTCAAGTTATTTGGTTACTTAAAAACTATGCCATATATTATAGTCATCTATTGACTTTAACTTCTGCATAACTCTTCTGAGAACAAAATGAGCAGAATGAATGATGGCTGAGGCCTGGCAATTTGACTTGTCATCTAAGGACGATTATTTATGGCATCAGGAAATGGAAGTTGACGCTCTAGTCTGTCTCCAGGAAAGTCATCATTAGAGGCAACTTTGGATAGTTTGGCTGTGTTAAAAATTGTGTAATCATATCCAAGACTGCTAGTTTCTCAGAATATATGAGAAGGAAACAAGCTAAAGCATCTTAAAGTATACTTGCATTTTTCTTGAAAAACCAGTGTACCTTACACACATTTCACACATGTGGAGCCAGATGGTGGTATTGAAAACAATATATATTTATATATATGTATGTATGTATATATGCACATATATACACATCTAATTAAGAGTACTGTCACCAGAGTACCTAACAGTTTCCAAAAATATATAGCTTACTATATAATTACTTTCATGTGTATATGTGTTTTAATTTGCAAAGTACTTTTTAATCATATCATTTTCACTAGTCCCTAAATGGAAGAAAAAAATACCATCATTGGCCCTGAATTTCCTGGCAGCCTGTCATGGAAAATGACGAGATTTTGACATGAGACTAGAAATAGAAAATAATAGCTTTGGTAACCTGTGAAAATTTAGATTGTTTGTTCCATATCATTTCAAAAGCAGACTTTGAGACAGATTACTGAGGTAGGTTTGTCCTGAAGGATACACATTTGTTTAGCCCCCAGGACTAGAACCAAGGCCCCTGGGCCTTTGTTCACAGCTGTCAGTTGGAGGAGATTATATATGACCAGACCCAAATGAAAACTGATAGGATAGAATGTAAGCACAGCATATTAAGATGCTCAAAATGACTCATCCAGTCATAAAATTTTGAGTCAGTTAATGCCTGATATTCACGGTCCTATAAAAGCAGTTGTGGCTAGCATGGGTTCTAATAGCACTTGGTATTTCTCCAAAATGACCTGAGGTCAATTCTACCACTAAGATCCCTTAGTCTCTTGTACTTCACACTCCTCACCATACTGTATTATTACTACATAGGCCACATGCATTTTTATCCACAGCAGTTAAATCCAACACTACTATGTATGCATGTGGTCAGTTTGTATATTTTTTTCATCATCTAGCAGCACTGTCCAGGAACATCTGAGCCTAATTTAAAATCTCATAGCCACATTTCTTAAAGAAACAAGTTTTAATAATATATTAATTTTAATATAGTTTAACAAGAATACCCCAAACATTATTATTTCAACCTATGGCAAAAGCAGCATTTTAAGTACTCAGTAACCCAGAGTGACTAGTGACTACTGAATTGGACAGTGCAGCTCTAAAGCACTGCTCCTCAAACCATTTTAAGTTAAGATACACATACACACACAAAACATTATTATTTCAACCTATGGCAAAAGCAGCATTCTAAGTACTCAGTAACCCAGAGTGACTAGTGACTACTGAATTGGACAGTGCAGCTCTAAAGCACTGCTCCTCAAACCATTTTAAGTTAAGATACACATACACACACAAGTAATAGATGATACATCAGATATACATGTTGAGTATATGTGTATATGTAATAAACTGTTATTGACTCTTGTGTGTGTCACAGAGAGTTATGCCCAACTCTTTGTGACCCCATGGACTGTGGTCTGCCGAGCTCCTCTCTCTATAGCGTTCTTCAGGCAAGAGTATTAGAGAGGGTTGCCATTCCCTTCTCCAGGGGATCTTCCCAACCCAGGGATCAAACTCAGGTCTCCTGAATTAGTAGGTAGATTCTTTACTGTCTAAGCCAGCAGGGAAGTCGATATAGATAATGTATGCTACTTATAGAGAGATTTATTATTAAAATAATACTTTTTTTTCCCTTTTCACAGTTCCTTTACATTTTGTCAATCCATGAGTAGCCCTTCCACCACCAATGAAAATTTTCCCTTCAGTTGGGGATGATTCTCAACAGGGAATATGTCTCCTCCCTCTCTCCACAGGAGACTTTTGAAGATGTCTAGAGACATTTCTGATTGTCGCAGTTTAGGAGAGGATGATATTAGCATATTGTGGGTGGAGGCCAAGAAGGCTTCTCAACAGCGTTACTCTGCACAGACAACCCCCTAAAAAAGGAATTGTCTGACCTAAAATACCAGTAGTGCCAAAGCTGAGAACCTTCCTTTAAAGTAATATATTATGATCTTTTAAGTGGCCAGTACTGTCTTAACTCAATATTTATTAGTGTATAATCCCATGGGATAATTTCAGTTTTTCACTTAATTTAAAATTAAAGCTCCACTCTATACTCAGCTGGGAGGAGGGCAAGATGTCTTCCTCTCTCTTCCTTAGCCTTGCATTTCACCCTAACTCCCCATTTTGCTAACAAAATTTTGTAACTACCTTGTGGTCAAAGCTAAAGAAGGGGAGGTTGCAAAAATGTCCTTATTTGACCAGTTACAAGAGAGCTTCTCACACTAGGCCTGGCAGACTCTTTAAAGCAGACACTCTCCCTTAGGCACTTTCATGGGTTCCTTGGAGACCCCACTAGGAAAATTTGACTTCAAATCCTCTAATTCAAGCAATTTATTTTCTTCCAACTGCAGTCCCCTCCTAACTCTCTTTCTCTCTTTCTTCTGAGTTCCTCAGGAGGGGATAAAATGGCTCAAGTGTAACTCCCCTACACCTATCACTTAGTAAACTGTTTTGCACCCAATAGCAACATAAAATTTTTTAATTGATTAAAACCATTCTAATTTAAATGACTAAGTGAGCTCCTGATATTTAACGTTTTCCTTCCCCTTCCATTTTTCACTTATTAGTTCAGTTCAGTCACTCAGTCGTGTCTGACTCTTTGCAACCCCATGGACTGCAGCACACCAAGCCTCCCTGTCCATCACGAACTCCCGGAATTGACTCAAACTTGTGTCTGTTGAGTCGGTGATGCCATCCAGCCATCTAACCCTCTGTCGTCCCCTTCTCCTCCCGCCTTCAATCCTTCTGAGCATCAGAGTCTTTTCAAATGAGTCAGTTCTTCTCATGAGGCAGCCAAAATATTGGAGTTTCAGCTTCAACATCAGTCCTTCCAATGAATATTCAGGACTGATTTCCTTTATGATGGACTGGTTGGATCTCCTTGCAGTCCAAGGGACTCTCAAGAGTCTTCTCCAACACCACAGTTCAAAAGCATCAATTCTTCGGTGCTCAGCTTTCTTTATAGTCCAACTCTCACATCCATACATGACTACTGGAAAAACCGTAGTTTTGACTAGATGGGCCTTTGTTGGCAAAGTAATGGCTCTGCTTTTTANCTTTGACTAGACGGATCTTTGCCGGCAAAGTAATGTCTCTGCTTTTTAATATGCTGTCTAGGTTGGTCATGGCTTTTAATTGAAATTAACAAGAGCTTTTTTCTCCCCAAGTTAGATGAATTTTTCTACAATTTTGTGTACAGATACAGTTAGGTAGAGGGCTTCCCCTCGTGGCTCAGCATTAAGGAATCTACCTGCATCACAGGAAACATAGGAGATGCAGGTTCAACCCCTGGATCAGGAAGATCCCCTGGAGGAGGAAATGGCAACTCACTCCAGTATTCTTGCCTGGAGAATCCCACGGACAGAGGAGTCTGGTGGGCTACAGTCCACAGGGGTGCAAAGAGTTGGACACAACTGACTAAACACACACACACACACACACGGCTGGAGCTATCCAGATAAGTTATCATGTTAAATAAGTTATCATGTTAAATATGAGGAAGTTAATGGGAAAGTAAATTGTGAAAATATGGACCTAACCACATTTTCATTGCATGTTCATGTAACAACAGAGCTAATATTTTCACATGGGCAAATTTTTACTCCTGTGCCCTGTCTAAACAGAAGGGCCTGAGCTATTAATTCAGGTAGTCATCCCATGACTAGCAGTTTTCTATTCATATTTGCATAAAGTAATAACCATAAAGGAAAAATTTACTGAAAGCCTCTGACTTTTTTTTTAATCTTCAGTGTTCAGACTGCATCACAGTGCTTCTGATACAAGCGACAAAAACCGAGTTAAAAGCAGATTAAAGAAGTTTATTACCCGAAGACCTTCCCTGAAAACTCTGCAAGAAAAAGGACTTATTAAAGGTATAGAATATTTTATACTTTTACTGTAACAGCAATAAATGAATGCGCCTCTCTGTCAGTAGTTAGTTGGCTCTAAAGGAGTTTTAGGAGATTTTATTCTTCTTAGGTTGCTTATTAAATGTTCTGCTCTATGACAGAAGCAAAAATAGCTATCCAGAAAACTAATCCTGAGAAAATAAAGATTGGATCATAAGATCATTGAAAAAAATACCAGGTTTTGCCCTCAGGGGATCTGGGAGCCAAGAAGAAATATCCTAGTGACCCATTAGAATGACCCCACATGCTTGGATAATCCTCGATGTACCTATTGCCCCAGATATTTACTAACAGCATCCCTTTTCATTCTCAGTTGAGTCTTGAATTGTATAAGTTATCTGATCACCTAGTCATAGTCTGAAGTAGGGCTAGGAAGAAAGTCTAAGATAAACTAGTGTCGTGAAAACTTACAGGTTTGAGAACTGGAGGACCTGGAACTCAATCTAAATTGAAATAAGCAGATATTTTGCAAATATGTATAAAGTATATAAAATATCCTCCACCATTCAGAACACTCTGGCGTGAGATTGTAATTGGGATTCAGACTTCAAGTCTACCACTCACTAATATTGATGTTGAACAAGTTGTTATCTCTGAGCCTCAGAGATGTTGTTATCTCAGAGCCTCTTCTGTTAACTGGGGATACTTACCCCCACCACTGAGAAGACTCTTAAACAAATGAGATAATCCATTTAAAGTTTTTAACAGAGTTTCTGGAACATAAGTATTCAAAAAATGACCTCCACTATCACTAATATTATTGTCATTCATTACTATTGTTGTTAGCAGATAGATGAAAGGATGGATGGGCAGATAAAACCAGTGATGTAGATTTCTATGACTGGAAATCACCTTATAGATCACAGAGGCAAATGTATTATTTTCCTAAGGAAAAAAATATATGCATCAAGTTCATTATTTTCCCTGATTTTCAGATTTTCTAACCAATGGACACATTTTGAAGATTAAATACAAGAAAGGATTTGAAAATAGGCTAAAATAAAGTACTAAAATAAACTTTGAGAATGAAGTGGAAAGACATCCTTATGGAAGTCAAAAAGTGATTTATGATACAAGTGTTTCTCAGGAACAGGGCAAAGCAGATAGTATTTTCAGCACTACTTAGGATGAGAACCATTTCAATAGTTTACAATAACCATCTGACCTATTAACTTCAGTCTCTTTTAAAAATAGGTGAACATATCACAAAAATCATCTAGCATTTTGAACCAACTGTGAAAGGTTAAATTTTGTGAAGCACGGATATCCCTATCACTAATAGAGTGGAAAATTCTTTAACATAAGCATTTCGAAGTAGAACTAGCACCTGCTTTAAATCAGTTTTAAGCTCAGACTTTTACTCTCTGTAATGTCCTTTTCAGTGGACAGCATTTGGTCTTCTACAGACTCAACTTCACATCATAATATTGTAGTACCTCCCGTTCTACCTTAGAATTTATCCCATAGATTATCATTTTCTTAGAAAAAAATCAGTAGCATGTTACCTGCCATCATGACAAAATATAAAACCAGATAAGCAGCCCAAACAATTACAATCTGACAAACTCCAAATTTTTCATGACTGCAGCAAAATTAAAGAGGTTTTAATTCAGTGGCATGGTCTGGCCCCAATCAAAATGCTAAAGAATTAATAACCATAGTGCTCTAGAATTGGTCTCAGAAAACAGCAGAGAAACTGGATGCCTAATGCAGTTTTCATACTGATGTAATGGAACCACTGCACACACTCCGATGGTACATTTCCTATCTTAAAGCTCCATTGCATTTTCACCATAGCTGACCAATGAGTCAGAATTCATTAGTAAGGCTATGGAAAATCTATGTGAAATTCCAATTTGATAAGCTCCCATTGTTGTCTTCAGTGGAATTTTCTTCCAAATACAGATCAAGTTATGCAAATACACTCACTTCTTGGGCTTGTTTCAATTTTAACTGTGAATTTTTTGTAAGGCTTTTGAGACTTTTTTTAAACTGAATAGAAAGCATTAAACCAATTTAAAAAAATATCGACCCAGTCAAATTTAGTATGTTAAGTCCATTTTCTTAGCATATTTAAGGCAAAGACTTAGGGGCAAAAAAATGAAATCAGTGTTTTTGATTGGCTGTAAAAAAATCACACAAAATAAATCAATGATTAACAGTTAAATGGTTAATTTCTCCAAGTAAATGACTTAACTCTTTCTAAAGAAGAATTATTTAGAAAAAAGGAATAATGCCTTTAAATTTGTCCTGGAGTGTGTTTGCCCAAATTATATTAAATATATATTCAAATACATATTTGAATATATATTTAATATATTCTTTTGCACATGTGGAGTAAAGACCTCCATTACTGAGGTTCAGGAAAGTTGTACCTGGTAGTTTGGGTCTTACAAGTGTGCTTCCTGATACCTGGGAGGGGTTTGGCAAGGCCACAGCCACTTTTCAAAGTGTTTACGCTTTTTTGTAACATTCCCAACAGATTGAGAGGCCTGAGCTTTGAATTCAACCAGCGTTTATTGAGCCCCCACTGTGGGGCAGGAAAGGCTGTGTTTTATTGACTTTCAGTGCCCAGCAGAACAATATTCACAAAGCACTTTAGGTGAAAAAGCTGTCACAATATCGCACAGTATAAACTCAGGCACAAACCCTTTCTTTAAAACCTGATTTTTGGACTCATGGAGACCCAGCCAATATGCAATTTCATTGGCTAGATTTTAGATAGAGAAGTAGCCTCTTAATGGGGCATTTTCTAATTTCTTTAATATGACTAATGAAAAGGGTACCTTATGATGCCAAAAAGAGGCCAGCAGAAAATTCTGAATCGTCACCCAATGGAAAGAAATAGTAATAGCTCAGGTGGGTGTCACAATCATTGTGCCATTGCAGTAGTAGCTTCTGAAAAGCCTTCAATTTCTCCAAGTGCTTTCACATTTGCCAAGGGAATGGCAAGAGCTTTTTAAATGTATGAGTTTATTACATTGAGCTGCTCACGGAAAACAAAACTCCAATCAATGTAATATGTAAATTATAGGGGAGAGGGTACACTTTAGGGTGGTAGGTATGTTTGTACATGTCCTCTCCTTGCGTTTGGAACTGAAGTAATTGCTCATTAGCATCAGCCAAACTACCTTATATAATCTTTCAAATAGCAGCACTGACATCCAAGAACATAAAACACAGGCAATGCAATTTTTAGAAAAGATAATAATTGGTTGGATTTTTAGGAGCAACTAACATTTCCTTATGTCAAAATGATAGAGAATATTGTGTATTTTGAAAGTGGTTTCTTTCATCTTTGTATAGAAAAAAACATACTGGATGACTTTAGTAGAAATTGAGAGCAATGTGGTAATACTTCTGTTTTTTAATGTGTGTTATAAGGGAAACAGCCAGTATAAGGGTTAAATAGTGCACCTCCAGGATTTATGATGAAAAGCAGTGTTTTCCTGCCTTATGCTAGTTTTCTTCCTTATAGGGACCATTTGGGGTGGTTTCTATTTGTAGTTCTCAAGGCTGCCTCTGTATCTTAGTTATTGTTATTTGGGGTATAGATTTTTGTTAATATCTTTCTTATCTTTAAGTTTCAATATCTTTCTTTATAAATTTCAGACATTACCTCAGGTTTATTTAAGAGTGAATCTTACAATTAAACTAGACTTCATCTACCTGTCTTTTTCTCTCCCAAATACTCAAATACAATTGGCCTTGCTGTTACTATTGGCTTCATCTGAAATATCCAACACACTTAAACCTCTGTTTATTGTTCTGTTGACCATAGACAATTGAGACTTAATGCCTCCACTGACAAGATGACAAGCAAGGTGTCCTTTCTCCCTTTCATCTCTATTTTTGCTGTTAAGTCTTTACTTCTACATCATGAAAAGTTATATCATTTCACTGATTTCTGTAATCATGACTTATCTATAGGTTGACTCTAGAAGTTAAAAATGAAGAAACAACATTCATATTATTATGATTATATAAGGTTGCTTTTTGTGGCACCAAGTATTAGACTTCTCTCTCTCTTCTTACAGTATCACAACCCGCTGACTTTTATTAGACAGAAATGTCCCTATATCTCTTTTCTTTTACATTTGAAGGTTGTATTAGTAAGTTTATGCTGTTTCACAGCTACAGTCAAGAATTCTACCCTCATCCCCTATATTTCAAATCTAAATGTGAAAAAAGTGATCAGTCCTGTAATCATGTAAATATTACGAAATTTTTCCCCAAGTAGTGTGCCAGATTGGATTAATTCATCCATAGGTCTGATACCATGCCATACTGGCTGCACAAATTATAATGTTATTATTTTTAAAGCTTATGCTTCATCATTTGCTTATAATCATGCTATTGTTTAGCTTGATACATTTTGAGATTGTGAATTTCTTGTACAGATGTTTGTCTCCCAGAGTTTTATTTTTCATTGCTTTCTGAGTTTTACATCCTCAAAGGATATTTTCCTCTCTACTAAACATTCTATGTACCTTAGTCTGTGACTCCCTGGTTTTTCCCCCAGAATATCTTCTAAAACCCTTCCATCATCCTACTCCATTTGTATTGGTTGCTTTCCAGGTTTCACTTTTGTTGTTATTTAGTTGCTAAGTAGTGTCCAGCTGTTTGCCATCCCATGAGCTGCAGCATGCCAGGCTCCCCTGTCCTTCACTATCTCCTGGAGCTTGCTCAAATTTATGTCCATTGAGTCGGAGAAGAACGCAAAAGACAGGTGATGCTATCTAACCATCTCATCCTCTCCTGCCTTCTTCTTCTTTTGCCTTCTATCTTTCCCAGCATTCGGATCTTTTCCAAGAAGTTGGCTCTTTGTATTAAGTGGCCAAAATGTTGGAACATCAGCTGCAGCATTAGTCCAGTGAATATTCAGGGTTGATTTCCTTTAGGATTGACTGGTGTGATCTTCTTGCAGTCCAAGGGACCCTCAAGAGGCTTCTCAGGCATCACAA